CTTTGATCACACTACCCTTTGAAGCAGTGTTCCAAAATGAAAACGAGGAGAAAGCAGAAGTCATCCAAAGTTCAACCCAAACTTACTGCAACTCTATCACCGCTGTAAAAGCCTGTGCAAGACCTATGGAAAATATCGATTAAAAGTTGAATTAACGCTGTAAATCATTCATTACAGTGCTATGATGTGTTGCACTGTTGATGGAAGCGTTTCTAACCCATAGTAAATGAGATCAAATCACCTTTGGAGGATTACGCTGAAAGAACATCTTGACATTTCTGAACTCAATAGAGGAGTCGATACAAACAACAAGAAGTGCGCTAACCGTGTTTCCCATTCACATACTCTACTGCTGCAAAATAAGTCTTTATGTATGTACAAATTATGTGTTCATGTTCATTCAATAGGCATGGAGACAGGCAAGCTTCCCAAATGAACTGAGAACATGAATATTATAATATTGGTGAAGTTGTCTTGTAAGTGACTTTAAATTTCTTCAACACTAGTATTTTCACTAGAAAGTCCTTTATAAGGTTTTTGACTTTACCCCCTTTAATAAGTGCTAAAACTGGTAAATATAACTGAGATACAGCAAAAACAGTTAGTTGAATGACTAACAGATGACAGAAAACCATGTGTTGCTATGGTAACTAGCACTTGCTCTGCCCTGGTGGAAAACCAAGCTCAGCTCAGAACCAGAAAAATCCCAGACCCAATCCAGAACCACCACCTTGAGAAAAGGGACTTTAACGGCCATAAAATGTTGTTTGCCAAGCGATTGAAAATGGCTGCATTTGAATTTGACGTTAAAATGACACACATTTATTTAATTTACACACCTCACCATACAGCCGTGGTCACACAGAAGCGACAAACTCCTGATGAACGCCTCTATTTAGATATCCAGGCATGTGTCTTTGAAGTTGAACATTCCAACTCCAAATTTGGAAAAAAATCCATCATAGACTTTGCATGTGAACATCACGCTGGTTTGAACATAGGTGCAATGTCTCAACTTCAGACAAATCAAAAGTACTTTCTCCTAATTGTTGTATGATTGTAATATGTCACTTTTTTCTATGTTACTCCAGGTGTGGTTCATGCACAATACACGATTGAGCGTCACATTTCTGATGGAGAGCAGAAAGCAATCAGTCTCAGTTAATTGTTTGTGAATCTATCTCCTGGGAGACTGGCTGTATAACCAATTACATATTTTTTTCTAGTTCTAAATGCCAATGTAACAATTTAACTGAAATGTTTTCTGCACGGCTGCTAATGAACAGTATGTGACAGCACAGACCTGTTATTGGTCATTTTTCACAATGACACAATACGCAGAGTACATTTACAAGGTTTATGTGCAATCACTACATAACAAAACATAAACAAAAGCCCAACAAAGACATGGTTGACCCTTTGTTCATTGTTTGTGGATGTGAAGCAGGAACTTTTGGGATTTTTGATTTTCACTGTCCCTTTTATGTCCGACCAGCCAAGCCCTTGGACATATCTGCGCAGAAAACCTTTTGCATTTGAATGTAATAACAATAATATGTAAATGACCTCTGCTTACTATGAGACAGAAATATAAGCGTGTACACTCCTCACTATGTTGTTGCACAGAGGAGTTTTCTGCCACCACTTCTCTTATAGGTTATTTAATACACACTATAACATCAGTAGATCTCTGTTAGGATCCAGACCCAACTTAATTTTGTCTAAATATTGTATAATTATTGTAAAATGTTAGTTAGATAGTATTTTAAACCTTTAAAAATGCCCCACACTAATACATCTTTGAAAAGGGATTGAATGAACCCAACCCCGTCTCACCCATTCATCACAGAATACAATAGATTCATGCGCTGCAGGTATATTCCGACAACATCATACAACCACTGGTACAACGTGACAGTTACATTTTTATCTAAAGTTAGAAGTAAACTTTTGTGGCTTGTGAGCACCGCTACGATTAGTTCAGAGGCTATGGTCTTCCCGTAACCCCCAGTCCTCTTCCTGCCCCTCAATACTGTGTCGTCTGCAGCTATTTTTTAAAGCGTATGCACAGCTTTTGACAGTTGCAGCAGCTCAAACCTAAGCAAACAGTTTTGATATCCCCGCAGTCGCACTTTAGCAGTCGTGAGTTCAGGAGATTAGAGAAGTGTATAAAGTGTGTGATGCTTTTAGATTTTGCTTATTGTCTCATACCCTACCATAAAAACTGAGACGCACAAAAATTCCCAAACACACACCCAAACAACACACCAAAATTAGGTTATTGGTAAAACTGAACAATAGAACTGCAATGGTTGATACACACAGTCTGACATGGGGTCATGTGTGCGCCACCTGTCTGATATACTAACAGTACACACGTCTGTTGGAACTACACAATTCAACATGGAGCCAAGGTGTTAAGTGGGTCAGCACTGCTCAACTTAGTGACCCGTTCACTGAAGAGACCGCTGCCATTCCATTGACACTGTTGCATCAACTGTAAAAGAAATCCTAGCAACGCCTGAGCAAGAAAGTGGTGCACCGAACTGTCCGCACATCAGTAATTCCTCCTGACAGGCTTCTTTGCTGTTCAACCACATAGTTCAAATGATGGAAAAAGCCAAAGAGAATACATAAATAAAAGGAATATAAACTGAAAACGTCGCCCAGGGAAAAACACAAGCATTATCTGAGGCTGTCCTACATCATCTTTGCTAATGACTTCTGCTTGTAATGACTGGAATAACCACATCACTGCATATCACCCCAAAGAACTGAGATTGCTAATTCAACATAATGTAGTTCTTAACACTGGCTGAGCTAGCTTTGTAATCAGGCAGCGTGGCTCTATTTAGCACCTGCCTTAATTACCTGAGCATGTCTGAGTCTGAGTCTTTGTAAATGGAAAAAGAAAAGGTTGGAGGACTTTCCATAAAGACAAGGTGCAAGCTAAATTAGCAGTGAAACTAACAAATGAAGGCAATTAGCCAGCTAGCCCCCAGTCCGTCAGCGCGGTCTAATTGAGAAACCAGGCCAAAGAATATTCACAGTGGCTCAAATTTTGCTTTAATGTTTTCTTTGAATCAATTCTACTGACATTGGGTCAAATTCTGAACTGCTGATGCATCTAATTACCAAGGATGTATTGGGCAAAAGGTGAAACTCGGAAAATTTGAATAACGTGCTTAAAGTCAATATATTTCCATCCATTTTCTTCCACTTAGCACCAGCCCCTCACCGATCCTCCTGCAGGTGGTGAGTCCACAGGAGCTGAGATCTTTCAGTGGGGGCTTCAGGCAAAGTGGGGTTGAGTGTCTTGCCCAAGGACACAACAACAGTAGACATCAGTGGGAGGAATGAAGTAGGTCTTGTCGTGGGCTCGAACTCACGACCTTCAGGCCCAAAGAGCCACTGTCGCCCTCAGTTCCTTGAGTGGCTGCATAGACTATGCAGCCACTATATGCTATCCTACTGTTTCTTCTTCTTCTTCTTCTTCTTCTTCCACTTCCGCCAGATTTTGGCACTTTTCAACTCTTCAACGCTTTCACCAAATTCAACAAATTATACATCGTTACGACCGGCTTCACCGTCTCATTATTGCTATTACTTTTCACACTTCCACCTTTAGCACTTTTTCAGATATTAACAAAAGTTCAAGCACTTTTTCCCATTGACTTACATTGGACCAGTACAACAGATTACTACCCATACAACACATTACCACACTAACAATTCATTACCACAGATACAATACATTACAACATCTTACAACACTTACAGCACCTTACAACACATTTAGCACTTTACAACACATTTAGCACCTTACAACACATTTAGCACTTTACAACACATTTAGCACCTTACAACAAATTCAACACCTTACAACACATTTAGCACTTTACAACACATTCAACACCTTACAACACATTTAGCACTTTACAACAAATGCAACACATTACAACACATTTAGCACTTTACAACAAATTCAATACCTTACAACACATTCAGCACCTTACAACAAATTCAACACCTTACAACACATTTAGCACTTTACAACACATTCAACACCTTACAACACATTTAGCACTTTACAACAAATTCAACACATTACAACACATTTAGCACTTTACAACAAATTCAATACCTTACAACACATTCAGCACCTTACAACAAATTCAACACCTTACAACACATTTAGCACTTTACAACACATTCAACACCTTACAACACATTTAGCACTTTACAACAAATTCAACACATTTAGCACTTTACAACACATTCAACACCTTACAACACATTTAGCACTTTACAACACATTCAACACCTTACAACACATTTAGCTCTTTACAACACATTCAACACCTTACAACACATTTAGCACTTTACAGAACATTCAATACCTTACAACACATTTAGCACTTTACAAAACATTCAACACATTTAGCACTTTACAACAAATGCAACACATTACAACACATTTAGCACTTTACAACAAATTCAACACATTTAGCACTTTACAACAAATGCAACACATTACAACACATTTAGCACTTTACAACACATTCAACACCTTACAACACATTTAGCACTTTACAACACATTCAACACCTTACAACACATTTAGCACTTTACAACACATTCAACACATTTAGCACTTTACAACACATTCAACACCTTACAACACATTTAGCACTTTACAACACATTCAACACCTTACAACACATTTAGCACTTTACAACACATTCAACACCTTACAACACATTTAGCACTTTACAGAACATTCAATACCTTACAACACATTTAGCACTTTACAACACATTCAGCACTTTACAACACATTTAGCACTTTACAACACATTCAGCACTTTACAACACATTTAGCACTTTACAACACATTCAGCACTTTACAACACATTTAGCACTTTACAACACATTCAGCACTTTACAACACATTTAGCACTTTACAACACCTTACAACACATTCTTCTTACTTCATCTTCTTCACTTCTTCCCCTTCTTCCTTTTCTTCCTTTTCTTCCTTTTCTTCCCCTTCTTCCCCTTCTTCCTCTTCTTCCCCTTCTTCCTCTTCTTCCCCTTCTTCCTCTTCTTCCCCTTCTTCTTCTTCCTCTTCTTCCCCTTCTTCCTCTTCTTCCCCTTCTTCCTCTTCTTCCTCTTCTTCCCCTTCTTCCTCTTCTTCCCCTTCTTCCTCTTCTTCCTCTTCTTCCCCTTCTTCCCCTTCTTCCTCTTCTTCCTCTTCTTCCCCTTCTTCCTCTTCTTCCCCTTCTTCCCCTTCTTCCTCTTCTTCCCCTTCTTCCTCTTCTTCCCCTTCTTCCTCTTCTTCCCCTTCTTCTTCTTCTTCCCCTTCTTCCCCTTCTTCTTCCTCCTTCTCTTCCTTCTTCTTCTTTCCTCTTCTTCCCTTTTCTTTCTTCTTCCTTCTTCATCCCTAACCCTTCCAACATCTATGCAGCCACTCACAATGGCTTCAGCCATTGTACCATTTCTAGTTTATTTCTGTAATTCGATTTCCAATGTGAAACCAATGCATGATATAGATTCATTGCATGAAAAGTGACACACGCCAAGCCTTTTTTCGTTATTATTTTGATTTGCAAGGGTGTAATTCAGTTTTTCGGTCCATGTTTTGTTTAGGGTTCTTATAAGCAGTGAGCCAATTTTCAATATTATCTAAAATAGAGGCTCTACGTATTCACACTCACTCTGCATGTAACAAGGTCTATTTTAGTTTCACGCTGTCGAAGTTTAAGCAAGTGAACTTTTTAACAAGATACTAATTTCTGAGACTGAAAGTACCTAAAAAAATGGAAGACTACTGTTGATACGTCTTCAGTACCAACTGTCACAATTTTAAAATATGTGATTTAATGTGAAGTAAATACAAAATGAATGTAAAAAAAATAATTAAAAAACACAAAAGGAAAGACAAATAAAAAATGCGATGGACTGACAACCAGAGGCAAAGAGAACAGGGTTTTGTAACTGGAAGACCCAGGTGATACACAGTAGAGCAGGGCAGACAATCAACAGAACTCACAAAATTCACAAGAAAACTGAAATTACAAAATTAAACACACACTACAATGATAACAAAATTCCACATACTGACACCAAAAGGCTGCTTCCAAATCCATGAAAAAATACAGCCTTCCTAAACCCTCCTTGCCTTTCCTTCTCGTTATCATTGGCCATTGTGGCATAAATCGCGATCGTGAAAAATATCATTGAAAGATGTTAAGTTCCACGTGTACCCAGAGTGCGGAAATTTCAGTGTTGTATCACAAGTTACAGAGCAATAGGAAGGGGGAGCACACAGCACAAGATAAAAAAAAAAACTTTATACTAAAATGAAATAACATCTCGACCTCTATCTTTAGAGTAATAAGGAAAGAAGTCTTAAAATCTCCAACTTAAGCATGGTGAAGAAGCAAGAATTAGGTAAAAAAATATACGGTCAATTTTAAAGCACAAATTAGGATGAGGAAGGATATGGAAGGAGGTATTTTATTTGCCGAATTCAGATATAGCCCATGAACTCGTTCCCTTCATCATAAGGCTCCAATTCCCCTTTTCTGCCTTCGGTCGGTAACTGTGGCTGAGAGTGGATCTAAAGTGTAGCAGTGTGAATACTAGCTTGTATGTATTATTATTATATATTTATTCATCATGTGTAGAATTGTGTGTGGAGAGGTTTTAGTTCAGAGGAAGCGAGAAAGAGAGCAAATGAAGACAATGGTGTCCTTGTTTAAAAGGGTGAGTCTCAGCTCTGTAAATGAAAGACTTTACAGATGAATGGGAAAGGCCCTTAGAGAGTCACAATGCTTCTCCACTTCTCTCTTTTATCCCATTGTCCCTGTTTGTTTCCATTTATGTCTGCCTCAGAGCTCTCACCCTGTTGGCAAATGAATATGTTTAGCATTTTGATACTAGCACAACTATGATATTGTCAAAACCACAGAAACAGGAATAAAATAATACAATGTGAACAACACAGAGCAACGACAATGCGACTAATTAGTTATTGAAATACAGTGGTATCAACTCAGAAAATTCAGTCAAATCAGTCGAGGACTCTACAAAGTTGCTGATTCATCAACAAGAAAACAGAAAATCAAAAGTTTGAACAATTGCAATATTGACAATTAGGAGGACAGAATCTGTCAATTGGGAGCGGGAAATACTAATAAATGTCAGCTTATTTTTGTAATCAATGAATGTTTTCATGAACCTCACAGACTTAAACATGTTGAAGAGGTTTTATGACTAATCCTATAATAACTGCAGAATGAAATGGAAATACAGTATGTTTACAAAGTATTTTCAATCCAGCAACCCAATGTCTAACTATAGTCGTCTCTATGACAATGGTCTCCAGGGGCATCACCTGAGCTTTGTTTTGGTCAAATGTAAAATTCTGTATTCACTGACTTTTGGGGATCTAGATAACACGTTGAGTAATTGAAAGGATGATCAGCAAACAAATCGATTATTGAAATAACCATTAATTACAGAGAAACCAACAGAGAAAAATGCTCTTTCCAAACTTTAAAATTAGTTTTTATCTTTATGAATTTGGTCTGTGGTTTTGAAATAAACTAAAATATAAAACATAATCTGGATCTTACATACACTAGTTCCTGGTTCACGTAGGGATATGGCTGATCTTGTTTATCATGAAAAGAACAAATTAGCGATGCATTTCCTTATTTATTTATTTTTTCACAAAGTGTACGATGTGTAATGAATCTCGTTAGGGCAAAATGAGCAGTTTGATTTGGATTCTTGTTTATCCTTCTTGATATATCACAATATTGATGTGTCTGATATGCACTTTAGGATGTAAGGATGTAAAGGCTCTTACATTTCCATTCATTCTTCTATTGTTTGTGAGGTGAGGATGAGATTGGGGATAATGGCTCTGAAGCACTCAGCAGAGATTAAAAACACAATGCTACAATAATAACATGAATAACAAAGGAGAAAATGAAGAATAGTACGGTGGTTAAAAAGCCTGAAACAAAATTAGACATATTCTCAAATATAAGGATAAGCAGCTTCAACCTTGACTTCACACAGTTCAGTGGCAGGGGCTCATTACCAGAGAAACTGTTCAAAGACAATTATAGCATGTGCAAACTATGGCCAAGGTACAATTAAATGCCCCTCAAAAAACGTGTTTCTGTGATTCTTAAATTGGCCCAATCAAAAAAGTGGATCCCTCTACGGGAATTTTTTTCATGATTAATAAAGTATACCTGAACCTCATCCTCAATTAACGAGCCAGTGACACAGTCTTGAGCCAGTGACACAGTCTATGGCCTGTGATTTTTATCTTCACAAGCTGGGCCAAAAATAAAAATGCACAGCTTTTAAGTTATTATATATGTTGATTGTATTTAGGCAAGGCAAGGAAAGGCAAGGCAAGGCAAGTTTATTTGTATAGCACAATTCATACACAAGGCAACTCAAAGTGCTGAACAAAACAAGAAAGCATTAAAATCACAAATAATCACAGAACATTAAAAAGGAGGATACAAATATAAAATCCCTCAGTTGTATGCACAGCTAAACAGCACTGTTTTTAACCTGGTTTTAAACATTGTCAGAGAGGAGGCCTGTCTCACATCTTCAGGAAGACTGTTCCAGATTTTAGCAGCATGAATCTGAAAAGCAGCCTCCCCATGTTTAGTTCTGACTCTGGGCACTAACAGGAGTCCAGTCCCTGTGCTCCTCAGAGTCCGGGCTGGTTCATATGGGACTAACATGTCACTAATATATTTTGGTGCTAGGCCATGGAGAGATTTGTACACAAGCAGAGCTGTTTTAAAGTCTATTCTCTGAGCCACAGAAAGCCAGTGCAGAGACCTGAGAACTGGACTAATGTGGTCGTACTTCCTGGTTCTAGTCAGGACTCGAGCTGCTGCATTTTGAATGTACTGCAGCTGTTTTACAGCCTGTTTGGACAGACCTGTGAGCAGGCCATTGCAGTAGTCTAACCTACTGGAGACAAATGCATGGATAAGAATCTCCAAGTCTGCTTTAGACACTATGTTTTTGATCCTGGCAATGTTTTTTAGATGGTAAAAAGCTGCTGATGTTACTGATTTGATGTGGCTATTAAAATTTAAGTCTGAGTCCAGTATTACCCCTAGATTTCTGACCTTGTTTGAGGGTTTTAGGGAGAGAGACTGGAGGTGACAGATGACGCTCTCTTTTTGTTTCTGGGGACCAAAGACAATCATTTCAGTTTTGTCTGCGTTTAGCTGAAGGAAGTTGTTTTGCATCCACTCACTGATCTGTTGGATACAGTGAAGGGGTGAGTCCACTGGTCCATGTTCTCCTGCAGTCAGTGAGACATAGATCTGAGTGTCGTCTGCATAGTTGTGATAGGACACTTTGTTTCTGCGTATTAACTGACCTAACGGCAGCATGCAGAGATTGAACAGAAGAGGTCCCAGGATCGACCCCTGTGGTACTCCACAGGTCAGGGCCATATGATCTGAGACACAGTTTCCAATCTCCACAAAGTACTTCCTGTCTTCAAGGTAAGACCTAAACCAACTTAGGGCGGTGCCAGCGACGCCAACCCAGTCCTCCAGTCCTTTAAAATGTATCAACAATAGGGAATTGCTGATTTGGATATTTCTGCCAAATACTAAGTTGTTTGCCGTTTGTTTGTATATCACAAGAATAAAAGCTCTAGTTGTTGATGTTAGATAACCACAAACCCACAACAAATAAGAAATATTTCAAAAAAATAGTTGGTGGTAATAGATTCTCTTTTACACTTGAAATTATTAAAACGTTTTTGAATGCCTTGTGTGATTGTGTGAAATTGGTTTGTTAAGCACTTTAATTTTCCTTGTGTTTAAACCTCATTTCAAAATCCTAGAATCTGCTAAATTCACTATACATTTTCTATAAATATAATTGAACTTTATTTCATGATAGAATGCCCCCACTTCTAGTTAATAAGCTGTAAGACTAGCATATTATTGAAATGCTTGTAAAAACAGATAAGTGCCGTTAGTCTAAGAAAAACTATTGATGTTTGTGTAAAATAGCAGCTAGAATAGAAAGAATACAACTTATTCAGACTTATCCATTTTTTGTATTTGCAACTGAACAGGGGTATCAAACGCATTTTGGTCAGTGGCCTAATAAGAAAAATAGGAACTGATGGAGGGCGAAAGAATAGAAGGCGTTTCTTGTAATAGTTTTCTACATCATGAATGTATTTTGACATAATATATGGTACGGCATGTGACATGACTTTCACTATTATTTTCCGGTTGATTGTTTATTGTTAACATTTTAGCAAAACTGGACCAAATATAAAGTTAAACACATTGTTGTATATTTAACTCCATAACTTCTGATGATGTGTTGTGTTAAAATGTTCACATGCCTCCATGTGATTAACATCCATGTTAATAACAATAATTGAAAATCATTTTAGGGGCCACTAATAATTGTCTTGTGTTGCAGATTTGGCCCACAAGTCTGGGTCTGATATGTCTGAGCCAGAGGAATACAACGTTTTGACAAATGTTGGGCTAAATTGTTCATTGTTGTTTTTAACTTATATTGTGTAACCTGCTGCTGTGTGAACTGTGAGGCTGTGTGATCTCACTGTGTGTTTGTGTAGAGTATGTGTGTTCTGCTTTGAGTTTATGCTGCAAATGAATGTCCCTTTGGGATCAATAAAGTTTTCTGAATCTGAATCTTAAATTTCTGTCTTGCAAATGATCACTTAACTTGTAGACCAAAGCAGACTCACCCAGGCAGTGTCCGTCGGTCTCCTCGTGGCCGATGCTGCAGACACAGCGGCCCAGAGGCACGAGCCAGTCTCCGTCTGCCCCACAGTAGAGTTTGGGGGTGTCTCGCTCCTCTGCGTTCTCCACACAGGCCCCTCTCACCTCCACCAGAGAAGACGAGTCCATGTGCGGGACCGTGTCCGGAAACACGGCCAGGTTTCTCATGGTGGACGGGCAGCGCTTGTAAAACACCTGCACGGAATAATGAACAAAAGTGTAATTGCTTCAGTTTTGCAAATCATTTAGTTATTTAGTCTACAGTGCAAGATTTATATTCGATAGGGTGAGAACTAAGTGTTGGAGCCAAATACGTTTCTACTTCAAACTGTGTTTCTGCTTATTTTGTATATTGTCTGTCTGTCTGTAAATGAACTTTTTATTTCGATTATTTATGTTTGTATTTATGTGAGTTGATTGAAAATAACAGCTAATGTTGGTTCTGATGTTCCTCTGTAACACTTGATTCATTCTACTTACTTACATATAAAATCGAACCAGGAAGTGCATTGTAAACTATGGCACTATGTCTATTTTGCGTGTTCCATGAGTGCTCTTACTACAGAAGTGCGCTGCAACACTGACATTTCTCTGCTGTGGGACTGTCGTATCTTATCTTACTTGTTGTTGTTTAGTATTGACTTAAAAACTCTGGCCTTAAATAGTGATGGCTATTGACTGAGCTTATAAACTCAGCAGTGTATAATGAAGATGTCAATGATTGAAAAAGCGTGGAGGAAGTTTGAACGATGTATTAATTGGACGATGTTATCTTGTTTGGGGTCAAAATTCTTAACAACACACCGACTGATGCACAAAAAGATAAATTCTGGTACAAATTTTCAATCATGTTTTAAGCCTTTGATGCACATTTGACTGAAAAACTGAAATTGTGAAGAAGGTCTGTAGTGACATTTTCTGGTTTAAGTATAAATAACTTTACGTCAGAGGTTGAAAAAGTCCAAGCTTCAGTGTTTTATAGTGACAAAGCAACTATATGAGCATGGCTAACCACAAAGACTAATGCATGGTGAACCCCAATAAACTAACTTAAAAGCATGGCTAACCACAATGTATAGAAGTAATCTCAATGAATGAATTGACTTAGAAGCATGGGTAGCCTCAATGGATGAATGAGTGAATGAACTTTGAAGCATGGCAAACCCCAATGGATTAATTAACATTGGCTAAATCCAATGTTTGAATTAATTAACTTAGAAGCATGGCTAACCAAAGTGAATTCAGATTCAGAACATTTTCCATTTTGCGGTCATCCTCTTTAGTTACTCACCATTTTGTTAAGAGGAGAAAGTACAGGTTTCAAAAGTAAGAAGTAAAACGTTATTCATAAAAATAAGTGGTAAAGTATTGATACAAGAAAATACATCTTAAGTACAGTACATAGTCTGGCTTCATGTGTAACCCTGAAATGAGTGTTAGAGGGGTCTAACCTTGACAGACACCAGGGCGATACACGCTCCCACATCCTGAAAGGCCAGGTAGAACCCTCTCCGGCTGATGGGCCCGACCTCGCGGACTTCAGTGTTGAGGCGAAGAACTCTGTCTCCCAGATCCGTCTGCGTGAAGCTCTCGTCGGCTGCTATAGTGTCCACCTGCAACACAACATGCATTATTCAGAGAGGGATCGACAATGTAGTCGGAAAATATACAGTGCCTTGCGAAAGTATAAACATTTCGCCACATTTCAGGCTTCAAACATAAAGATATAAAAACAATTTTTTTTGTCAAGAATCAACAACAAGTGGGACACAATCGTGAAGTGGAACGAAATTTATTGGATAATTTAAACTTTTTTAACAAATAAAAAACTGAAAAGTGGGGTGTGCAATATTATTCGGCCCCCTTGCACTAATACTTTGTAGCGCCACCTTTTGCTGCAATTACAGCTGCAAGTCGCTTGGGGTATGTCTCTATCAGTTTTGCACATCGAGAGACTGGAATTCTTGCCCATTCTTCCTTGCAAAACAGCTCGAGCTCAGTGAGGTTGGATGGAGAGCGTTTGTGAACAGCAGTCTTCAGCTCTTTCCACAGATTCTCGATTGGATTCAGTCAATTGGACTTTGACTTGGCCATTCTAACACCTGGATACGTCTATTTGTGAACCATTCCATTGTAAATTTGGCTTTATGTTTTGGATCATTGTCCTGTTGGAAGATAAATCTCCGTCCCAGTCTCAGGTCTTTTGCAGACTCCAACAGGTTTTCTTCCAGAATGGTCCTATATTTGGCTCCATCCATCTTCCCTTCAATTTTAGCCATCTTCCCTGTCCCTGCTGAAGAAAAGCAGGCCCAAACCATGATGCTGCCACCACCATGTTTGACAGTGGGGATGGTGTGTTCAGGGTGATGAGCTGTGTTGCTTTTACGCCAAACATATCGTTTTGCATTGTGGCCAAAAAGTTCGATTTTGGTTTAATCTGACCAGAGCACCTTCTTCCACATGTTTGGTGTGTCTCCCAGGTGGCTTGTGGCAAACTTTAAACAAGACTTTTTATGGATATCTTTGAGAAATGGCTTTCTTCTTGCCACTCTTCCATAAAGGCCAGATTTGTGCAGTGCACGACTGATTGTTGTCCTATAAACAGTGCACCTTGAGATGTTTAAAGCTTGGGAAATGTTTTTTTATCCAAATCCGGCTTTAAACTTCTCCACAACAGTATCTCGGACCTGCCTGGTGTATTCCTTTGTCTTCATGGTTCTCTCTGCGCTTTAAACAGAACCCTGAGACTATCAAAGAGCAGGTGCATTTATACGGAGACTTGATTACACACAGGTACATTCTATTTATCATCATCAGTCATTTAGGACAACATTGGATCATTCAAAGATTCTCACTGAACTTCTGGAGTGAGTTTGCTGCACTGAAAGTAAAGGGGCCGAATAATATTGCACGCCCCACTTTTCAGTTTTTTATTTGTTAAAAAAGTTTAAATTATCCCATAACTTTTGTTCCACTTCATGATTGTGTCCCACTTGTTGTTGATTCATGACAAAAAATTAAAATTTTATATCTTTATGTTTGAAGCCTGAAATGTGGCGAAATGTTGAAAGGTTCAATGCGAATACTTTCGCAAGGCACTGTATGTTTGTATATAAGCTCTTGAGGATGTTGTAGTTTATATATTGTGGTATTGATCTGATTATTCTGTGTTTTTTGTGCAATGCTAAGGTGGTTAAGTCATGCTAACTCAAAACCTCAGGTCTCAAACCTTTTTTGATTGCAGAGCTACTTTTATAAAAACGTAAATGGAAGGGAGCTACTCCTTTCGCAGTTGTAAGAAAAGTGCTATAGCCAATCATAGGAAACGTACATGTATAATATATAAAAAGGCACAGATGCAAATGCTGATGCATAAAACTCCGCAGACACTCCTGTTTTTGACTCTACAAGTACTAATGCTTACTCTCTCTTACTCTGTCATTAACAAAGAATGTGGCAATACTAGCCGCCCAGAAGACTCTTTACTTTCTGGTAGAAGATGGCTGAAGCAGAAGCAAGCACCACGTCAGACAATAGTACATTTTCAAGATGAGCAGACTCCCATTATTTTAAGTTTGTTGGAGACAAAGAAACATAGCAGTTAAATGCACTTCTGCAAAACCAAACAGTCAACCTTCAACCTATCAACCTAATGCAATAGCATAGTAAGCTACATTTAGTATTTATTTATATTTGGTGAAAGTACCTTAAAAGTAATGCAGTAGTGTAAGGCATTACAATAGAGACAGTAATATTGTAGGGTAACATATGACTTTGAAATAACAGTAACAAGTATTACATAATGTATTACGTTTTTGAAGTAACTTCAACAATGTTCAACACTGTGTTTTTTTTGCAGATCAAGCTTAGGTGTGCAGTTGTCTGAATGTTATGAGTATTCACAGCCTTGCATTCCACTCATCCACAATGCACTTATTCAATTACAAATACAACTGTTTCATCGCCCTAAACTGTCTGATTATGTAATTCCAGTCTACACGAATATAGAGACTGTGGAACATTCCAGGTAAAGAGCTTCAAGCCCAAAATCCTTGTGAAGCCTTCGCAAGTGAAAATAAGGTTGAAAAAGGAGATGGAAAAAAAGAAAGAAAACCATCAGCCTTTTATGAAATCATCAGGGAATATAGAACCATCGCCTTCTTGCATGGACGGCAAAATCCCCTTGTTTTTGTCTCATTCCAAGTGAAAAGTTCTTTTAAAAACTAAGATTTTTTTTACTTGCTCATTGGAAAATCTGTCAATTTAGTTCAAAACTCCAACTACTACTAATTTTACAAGCTCACAACTTGTAAAATTAACCCAAAGATAAGCTCTGGATAAACGTGTGTACTTTTTCACCAATTTGACAAATTAAATGAATGAAACCGACAAGGATAACTATATTCTAGTATACAGAATCCTTGCAGGAGTCAGGCCCAGTTATGATTGGAAATTCGAGTTTGTCTGACCTTGGCGTAGTCCGTGGCTCTGAAGCGTGCGGTGGTGGGCAGCGGCTCCTCAGACTGCAGGTAGAACAGGTTGAAGGTCTCTTTACACGTGCCAGAAACCCAGGGAATGGAGTTACAGTCTCTCAGAGTGAAACGCAGCTCCACATACACCTGAAGGAGAGCACACAGAGACTTAGAAGTGCAAAGAAACATTGATTATTGGAACTAATGTCAATATCGTTGATCTGGAAAGGAGCAGACCCTTTGTGCGGCTTGCCGTCTGATCCATCCCGACCGGAGCCAGTTGTTCTGATTGGGCTCCATCACATGACACACCTGAAACGTGTGGATTGGTCGATTTTGCTCGTCCATTTCTGTGATGGCATCCCACTAGAACATACATATTTCATGTTTATATTGATCAAAGCAAGCCAACTTCTTGACATCATTAACAATACAAAAGGGTGGGAGCATACGTATGTGCCATGTTAAGATGAAGCCGTTTCTCACTTTCTCACTTACGGTAAACTTTCTAATAATACATTTTTATACAACCATTAGATCCAGAATCCTCTGATGGTTGTAAAAAAACGTAACGTAAGATAGATGGAGAGACACGGTGGCTGAGAAGATAGCACTCTCGCTTCTCAGCAAGAAGGTCTTGGGTTCGAATCCTGGTCGGAACACGGTCTTTCTGAGTGGAGTTTGTATGTTCTCCCCATGTCTGCGTAGGTTTCCTTCAGGTGCTCTGGTTTCTCCTACCACTAAAAACATGTACAATAGGTGTGGAATACGCCTCCTGTGTATGGTGACCTGGCTACCATCTCTGTGTGGAGTGACAGACAAATAACCACAATTGTAAAGAGTTTTGTGACCCTGGTCTGTGAAAGGCGCTATATAAATAAAGATTACTTACTGACTAGAAGCACAGTCTGTTTGTGCTCCATGTGACCAGCATCAGTATCGTCGACTTTTATACATAAACAAAATGATGGCAATTCAAACTATACAATTTGATTATCATTTTCTTAACAGACAGCCGTTTCAGACCGAAATGTGGTGCTTTACTTTCATGCTGTTTTCATGTCATTACATCATGCAGCTCTCCCCCATTTGTCGGCTCAACTTTAACAGAGCGATGATCACAGCATCAGGAGCTCTGACATGAATCGACACAACCTTTTCACCACAAGTTTTGCGGCATCAATGATGTTTTATGGATTTATTTTAGCAAAGAGAGTGATTTGAAAAAGTATGAGCTTTGGCACATTTTGTCATGTCACAACCACCCATGTGAAGTGGAAGCAAAATAACACATATTTTTTTAATAAGAAACTCAAATGTGGGGCATGCAAAAGTGTTCTGCCTCCATGAGTTGATTATTATTATTATTGCCATATGTTTATTTGATAGGGACAGAAGAAGAAGCATTGATAACCGAGGTCATGTTCATAGGCCATATAGCTAACAGCTAATTCGCAGACCTACAGTATGTTTTGATTGAAGTCTGTCTGAGGTGACTTTATGTTTAGGTACAAAGTCCTGCTGGAGGGTATACTTCAGCCAACAGTTTTTCTTCTAGATTTTCCCGTATTTTCAACTCTAACACAGAGCATGATGCTGCCACCACCAGGTTTGACAGTGGTTTGACAGTGTGTGAGTAGAGTTATGAGCAGTTTGCACAACAAGTAAGTCAATCTTATTTTTGTATATTTCTGTATTCACAGACCAAGGTCACACAAAGCACAATACAAATGTAGTGTACCGGTAACTTTCCATTCACTCCACTCACGGTGAGTACATAAGCGAGACGTCAAACACTCTGATGCATAGAAGCCCCCAACCATCCCCATCCATTCAGTCTATTACATTCAGACCTATTGTACATGTTTTTAGTTGTAGGGGGAAACCAGAGCTCCCAAAGGAAACCTAAGCAGACCATGCAAAGAACATGCAAACTCCATTCAGAAAGGCCCTGTCTGGGGGTGGAATCAAACCCAGGACCTTCTTGCTGTTCTTACTGCTGCGCCACAATTCCACCCTTTCACTCTGTTGTAGTAATTCATCAAAAAAAGGAAGATGAAAATGTTATGTTTATAGTTGTGACGAGACAAATGTGAGATAGTTAAAATTAGGAACACTGCCAGTATATATAAGAGGAAATAAGTCTTTTGACCACAGAATTATATCGTATCTTACAATGAAAGTCCCAGCGTGAAAAGCTTTTAGAGGTGTTCCTCTGTTATGTTCTGATTACAGCTGCTGTATGGAGCACTCCGCAGTCAGAGTGAAAGCAGCTCGGAGGTGACTCGTCTATGGGACACGTCCATTGTTCTGTTTGGTCCATTTGTAGCGTACTCATGAAATACATTCATCACACAAGAGCAGTGCGAGTCCAAAATGTATTCATGCATTAGTACAGATCCAGGCCAAAAAAATGGACGATGACCAGATTTTGACCTATTGCATGGGTGCAGTCTCTGGTGTTGTGTGTTTGGTGATAATGCCTCATCTGGATTCTACCAGTGCAGAATGTATATTTTTATTTATGTATATTATGTTTATTTTCAAATGCAGATGAATGAATGAAGGAATGCTTATTTTTTTTTATCATAAAGCAAAAATCCAACACATATTCATATTCTGTCTCGAGTCATAGACCAGAAATACACAATTATTTGTATATTTGAACTGCATAAAGGATTATGCAATCATTCTTTCAAATCATTGCAGCTTGAAAGAATATATGGAGGCCAGGCTTCTATATATTTATATGTGTAGCCTCCTATGGACAGGTGTTGCAAATTAGCAGTTTTGCTATAACACTGGAAACAATGTATCTGGTTTGTCCAATGCAGTTGATATGTCCATATCAAATAAACTAATAATAATACCGTGCATGGCAAGCCTGGTTTATTAAAAGATAATCCCTCGTCCGTGTCTCTGCAGTGTTTGGGATGGATGTGACATCGGTATAGAAAGTAACAGACGGCTCTGAGTGGAAATGAAACTTGATGATGTGGACTTACCTAAATTATTAAACAACACTTTAACCTTGAGTGGAGTGTTTGAAAGCAATTAATCTTATATTAATTAAGCTATCTAAATTAGCTCCACGTGACACCTCAGGGCTAAATGATTAATCAATCATAATAGCCCTCTCAGATGTACTGCCACATGATAATGTTGACTTGTCTTTGTGGCCTCTGAGGAGAGACTGCGTAACAATCATGCATATATTACTGTAGCCATTACTACACAAACCACATAGTGACTGGAACAAGTACTCAGATTGATGGCAATAAAGTTTCTGATAATAATAATTTATAAACCTAATTTTCTATATGAATTGAAGAAAGTGACACGGACCAAAACTTCACAACAAGTCAGACTTAGCATGAGACTTGCCAGGAGCAGGGAAAGTGGATGTGACACAGAGAGTTTGTCATTTCAAAAGGAGGCAATGCGAGATTATAGCGCAGCCAAATCATAGTATTGTCATAGCCAATCAGGAGCGAGGCAGGTATGGGGTTAAAAGGCATTTGATTGGTCAGTTTTTATTGGTACTGTTTTGATTTAAGGGGGACATATTTTGTGAAAAGTGAAAGTGAGAACAGTTGGTGAGTCAGATCTACTACAAATTGTAATCACTTGTTTATTGTGCCATAGGTGAACACCAGAATAAATACAATTTCAATTAAATTAAATTTTATTTTTGTGAGACCGAAACCAAAAACAGATGTCTTTACAACGTTGTTGATTCCTCAACTATAGCCTTAGCCGTTCATTGGATGCTGCATCCATCCATTCATCTCGATAACGTATGTTGGGCATTAACTATAGAACTTGCCGAACAATTACTGCTGTCTGTGCGGATTAAACGCGGGGGGTAGCTTTTCTTCAGCTTTATCTGAAAACAAACTACAAGCTAGGTCTGATGTATAGTGGGCCATTATCATCTTGCCGTCCCTCTCAGATTCTGTGAATGGTCCTCAAATCCATGCAAACATTTCAGACAGGTTTGGAATGATTTGAGCGCACAGAAGCAGGGAGATTCCCAGACCTACAGAGACGATTCTTGTAAATGTTGTCTCATTCCTTACTAAGCTTTTTGAGTTATGGTGTAAACTGTGTACTATGTATTTGTCTTATTCTGGACCACGAGTCTGTAAAAAAGTTTGATGATAATGATGATGACAATCGTCCTGACGCGCAACATAGGTCAGTGAGTAGATACATTTGGTGTATACAAAATAACCACAAACCACACCAACGAGAAAATGAACAAACCACTCCCAGAATACATATTAACTTGTTCCTAGGAGGGCAGTGATGATCCGGGATATTAAAGGGACATTTATGGACACATATATTTCTTATTTGGTTTCTCTCAGTAGGGACAGATACAATGGTCATCCCGCTCCTTTTGGACCAATGGCCTCTAGGTAATAAGGTCCCAGGATTAGGTTTTTGTTACCAATTTGTTAAACACACCAATAACATATTGATACATATCCAATTTGACTTTCATCTTCATTTTGTGAGAACAAGCGGACATTTGAACAGTGCCATTAATTACCCAATATGGAATTACTTTATCTTTGCTTTTCTTTGATTAATTAAGCAGTTAAAGGTAAACATGTAAATGTATTAATATCTATCTTGGCTTTTGGCAGCTGTTCACACATCTTGAAGAACTAAAACTATCCATGCATAACGTCCTAAGATCAGTTAAAATGTGCATCCCTAATGATTCATAATTCTTTCACCTATACTCTTGTATTGTTTGTCTATTCTGTCATGTCAGTGGCCTCTTTTCTGTGCTCCGGTAACAAATGCACTTTAAAAAATGCAAGCGTTCTGGTTTGCATAAGATCAGCATTAAGTAATTTGAGCACCATTATGCAGACAAACAGGGGAAAATGGTGATTTGTCACTGGGTGCGCCTCAGAGTCCTAAAATGCACCCTTGGGAGGTGGCATGGTTCAGAGCAGGGAAAACAAATGCAAAGTGAAAAATATATGACGGCAGTTTGAGGGATGAGTTGTAGCCCACACGCTCGGAGTCACTTGGTCTGTGACATATTTACATGTGACCAAATCAGAAGCAGCGAAGTTAAAAGTGCAGCTAATCAATGCAAGTTATCTTTTACTGGTGAATTCAAGATCATTACTTTATTTTGATTATATGCAATTAAAGAGATTGTTTTGTTATTTTTGCATGATTAAACCTTTGTTAATGCCAGGGCACCTATCTTATATATTATAATTAATTCATGATTTTTGTCCTAACAGGAGTCTGAAAAGAGAGACAAAAAACTATCTTTGAGAACAAACTAGATCACAACATGCTGTCTTCTTCTCAAATGAAGACATATTGCAAACTTGTAAACAAGTCACCATTTGACACTTTGGGCTAAGAGCTGATTGGCTAGGGGAGGGTTGTCTTCTCTTTTTAAATCATTAGTCTGAAGAAGCTGATCTTAAGCTCTGACGGAGGCCAAAAATACATTTGTGTGAAAACTAGTGATAGAACCAAACTGTGCGGAGTTTCTGTGCGGATTTGTATTATTTCTGTGCTTTGAAAATGTGGTTATTATATTATATATAATGTATATATAATTATTTTAAAAAACATAAACCTTTAATGTAAAGTATATTGCTATGGTATTGCTAATCCAATCTTATAAGAACATTCATTAGAAAATTATTTTCTACTCTTACTGTGAGAGCCTTAGCCTTTGTCACAATTACTGAATGTACTGAATGGATTTCTCAGCTTAAAATATTCAAAGGCCGTCATGATGTGCTTTAATCACGAAGCTTAAGTGCAAAATCATACTCAAAGACTACACGCTGCAGTTTCATCCCATCCAGGGCCAGTCTCTCCAGCCCCTTGCCAACCTATGGCAGCGAAGCAGGCAGTTTAAAAGCAGCCACTTCCTACTAACTACATGCGCTTCTTTAAGCTCTTGCAACCCACCACCTCCCCCTACGGCTCCTCCTTTAGCTCCTGCTCTAACTCCTGCTCTAGCCCCTGCTCTAGCTCCTGCTCTAGCTCCTGCTCTAGCTCCTGCTCTAGCTCCTGCTCTAGCTCTTCCTCTTGCTCCTCCTCTAGCTCCTCCTCTAGCTCCTGCTCTAGCTCCTCCTCTAGCTCCTGCTCTAGCTCCTGCTCTAGCTCCTGCTCTAGCTCCTGCTCTAGCTCCTCCTCTAGCTCCTGCTCTAGCTCCTGCTCTAGCTCCTGCTCTAGCTCCTCCTCTAGCTCCTCCTCTAGCTCCTGCTCTAGCTCCTGCTCTAGCTCCTGCTCTAGATTCTCCTCTGGCTCCTCCTCCAGCTCCTCCTCTAGCCCCTGCTCTTGCTCCTGCTCTAGCTCCTGCTCTGGCTGAGTGGATAGCACTCTCGCCTCTCAGCAAGAAGGTCCTGGGTTCGAATCCCAGCCGGACCAGGGCCTTTCTGAGTGGAGTTTGCATGTTCTCCCCGTGTCTGCGTAGGTTTCCTCCGGGTACTCCGGTTTCCCCTACCACTAAAAACATGCACAATAGGTCTGGCATGCGCCTCCTGTACTGGCGACCCCGCTCCCATCTCTGTGTGGAGTGAGAGACAAATGCCCAAAAATAATAACAATTGTAAACCGCTTTGTGACTCTGGTCTGTGAAAGGCGGTATATAAATAAAGATTACTTACTTACTTACTGCTCTAGCTCCTCCTCTTGCTCCTCCTCTAGCTCCTCCTCTAGCCCCTGCTCTAGCTCCTCCTCTAGCCCCTGCTCTAGCTCCTGCTCTAGCTCCTCCTCTTGCTCCTCCTCTAGCTCCTCCTCTAGCTCCTGCTCTAGCTCCTGCTCTAGCTCCTCCTCTTGCTCCTGCTCTAGCTCCTCCTCTTGCTCCTCCTCTAGCTCCTCCTCCTGCTCCTCCTCTAGCTCCTCCTCTAGCCCCTGCTCTAGCTCCTGCTCTAGCTCCTGCTCTTGCTCCTCCTCTAGCTCCTCCTCTAGCTCCTGCTCTAGCTCCTCCTCTTGCTCCTGCTCTAGCTCCTCCTCTAGCTCCTGCTCTAGCTCCTGCTCTAGCTCCTGCTCTAGCTCCTCCTCTTGCTCCTCCTCTAGCTCCTCCTCTAGCCCCTGCTCTAGCTCCTCCTCTTGCTCCTCCTCTAGCTCCTCCTCTAGCCCCTGCTCTAGCTCCTGCTCTAGCTCCTCCTCTTGCTCCTGCTCTAGCTCCGCCTCTAGCTCCTGCTCTAGCTCCTGCTCTTGCTCCTCCTCTAGCTCCTCCTCTAGCCCCTGCTCTAGCTCCTGCTCTAGCTCCTCCTCTTGCTCCTGCTCTAGCTCCGCCTCTAGCTCCTGCTCTAGCTCCTGCTCTAGCTCCTCCTCTTGCTCCTGCTCTAGCTCCTCCTCTTGCTCCTCCTCTAGCTCCTCCTCTAGCCCCTGCTCTAGCTCCTCCTCTTGCTCCTCCTCTAGCTCCTCCTCTAGCCCCTGCTCTAGCTCCTGCTCTAGCTCCTGCTCTTGCTCCTCCTCTAGCTCCTCCTCTAGCCCCTGCTCTAGCTCCTGCTCTAGCTCCTCCTCTTGCTCCTCCTCTAGCTCCTGCTCTAGCTCCTGCTCTAGCTCCTCCTCTTTCTCCTGCTCTAGCTCCTCCTCTTTCTCCTCCTCTAGCTCCTCCTCCTGCTCCTCCTCTAGCTCCTCCTCTAGCCCCTGCTCTAGCTCCTGCTCTAGCTCCTGCTCTTGCTCCTCCTCTAGCTCCTCCTCTAGCCCCTGCTCTAGCTCCTGCTCTAGCTCCTCCTCTTGCTCCTGCTCTAGCTCCTCCTCTAGCTCCTGCTCTAGCTCCTGCTCTAGCTCCTCCTCTTGCTCCTGCTCTAGCTCCTCCTCTTGCTCCTCCTCTAGCTCCTCCTCTAGCCCCTGCTCTTGCTCCTCCTCTTGCTCCTCCTCTAGCTCCTCCTCTAGCCCCTGCTCTAGCTCCTGCTCTAGCTCCCCCTCTAGCTCCTGCTCTAGCTCCTCCTCTAGCTCCTCCTCTAGCCCCTGCTCTAGCTCCTGCTCTAACTCCTCCTCTAGCCCCTGCTCTAGCTCCTGCTCTAGCTCCTCCTCTAGCTCCTGCTCTAGCTCCTCCTCTTGCTCCTCCTCTAGCTCCTGCTCTAGCTCCTCCTCTAGCTCCTGCTCTAGCTCCTGCTCTAGCTCCTCCTCTAGCTCCTGCTCTAGCTCCTGCTCTGGCTCCTGCTCTGGCTCCTGCCCCACCTGCATCCCATTCACACTATGCCCTCTAGCCACCACCAGTGCTTGACTCCGGAGGATCTGAGATCATCTGTTGAGGTCAATGCACCATGAACAAATCTTTCTAAAATGCATGTTGTGTCTGTTTTAGTCTCTCCAGATTGAAATAATCTTAAATCTTGCACCAGCATATATATTTAGACTGTGTCTTGTTTAGTAGCCTCATGATACAAATCTTTGCGCATAAAATCCTTTGCTCTTTTGTGATCTTGACCTTTCAGAGCTTGCTAGTTTTGTTTGCTGCTGCTGCTTCTGCTTGCAAAAACAATAACTTAACACAATGATAAAAATCATAAAATTAAACATTATTTGCTTTAATCAAAACAGAACTTCAATTAAGAAAAAATACAACTGTTTGCACTATTAAAAAGTAACTTCGCAAGAAATGACCAAATCATCTAAAAAGTTTCTTATTCATGTCTTCCAGCTACAGATATATTTTGATCAGTGATGTCCATTAACCTTTCCATTAACTATGCATTTTTACCCTCTGGATAATGCATAATCACTCACTGGATTTAAAGAAAAAGGGCAGAGAAAAATGGCCTCAATTAGAACAAAGTCATTCATTTCATAATTGCAATGTAAAATCGATGAGGACATCTCGAATACAGCGCAGGTTTCAGGAGGAGAACAAAGTGCATAAGTATTATGATTTTCCACATGTATTCTGTATGTTGAAACTGTATGTTCGATCCTATGGTCTGGCTCTTTGTAAAAGTAGATGAATCGTTAGAAAATGTGAAAAGTCCATTCAAAGACCGACACTGAGAGCTGCGTTGCTCTTTTTTCCCAGACCTTGACGATGACAGATTCCACATCAGTATTCATATCTGTCTGTCTTTGTGTCAGCTAAATGTATAATTAAAGAGTCTTTCTTGGTTCTCAAACTTTTCACCTCCAGTATCAACAACTTATTAGCTCTCAGAGTAAAAGATCTTTAATAGACAAATGTGCCTTTCCTTTTTTTAAGCATTGACCAGGCATCAATCTTCTCTCCAGCGTGATTGGTCCATTCCAGCTGGTTGTAAGTTAGTTATACTATCATACTTATAGCTGTGACTGGAGCAAAAAGCTACTACAATAATCATTTGTCTTCCAAACATGTTTGTATGTGTCTGCTTGTGTGTGTTTGCATGTGTTTTTGTTTTTGTGATAAATAAAGTGCATCTTTATTGTAGTCTTTAGATTGTTGTTGTTTCACTGTTCTATTTTCCATTATGTGTCCATTCCTGTATGAATAGATCATTTGCAAAAACGGATAAGTGCCATTAGAAAACAATATTTGAAAGACTTGACAAGTTTCTTTTTAGCAAGTAGTAGTTGTGAATAACCAGATCTTTTTAGGGCCATACATGTATATATACTTATTTTCACCCCTTCTTGAGCAAGTTAATTAAAATTTACTGCCAATAACAAAACATGTTGAAGATTGTAGAGGAAAACAATAAATAAAATCAGCAGAAGTGAAGTTTAAAATCAAACGTTGAGGTCTATGGTCAATCATCTGGCTCACCAGTTACCATCACATAAGAAAGGAGGTGATTTGTGTGTATTTTTTCCCAACAGGGCTTCTGCCTCCACAACACAGCAGCAGCAGCATGAGCTCTCCTCCACACTGGGTCGCCACAAATGACTGTGATCCAAAGTTCAAAGTGTTTTGCAGATATTGAAAGTTGCAGAATTTGACTTTGGCCACATCTCATGTCTTGCAATTACATAATCGCATGTGCAACATTTTTGGGGGTAAATCAAGCTGTATAATTACAACAAAGAATCTCACACACCATGAAGCTATGAAGTGGGCAGAGCTTAGGGTTCCGGACATAAAAATCCCCAAACTCATTACCTGCCAGCCTATTTCAGAACAGGTACTCCCATATTGCCAGCAGTTTCTGATGATTTTGATTTATTTTTCAAGACCCACAGAATATTGTGTACTATGACTGAAATCCGAAACCAGATTCTGAAAGAATGGACTGTCTACTTTTATCAGCAAAAATAATTTTGTTTCTAGCTTGCTTAGTTCCCCTGTAATCCCCAGTCGAGTAGAGGGAAGTTTTACTGAAATCACCTGTCTCAGACAAAAAGCTGAGAAAAAGAGGTTTTTAAAACATACAGGTCTAAAGCTAATCCCCATGCATATTAGATATAATAGACATCTGGGAACATGAAAATAGCGGAAAACGCAATTGACGCATTAATGCGTTAATGGCACACAACGAGTTTAAAAATCCCCATACTCCCCATACCTACTATTCATAAGACAGTAGTTTCAGATGAAAACAACACCATTGAAACGTAAGACCTTGCATAACATTCATCAGCAGATCAGATTTTCAATCTTTTATAATAAATGTTTGCACAAAATCACTATTTGGGGACTATTGGGAATCTCTATTAGGAATTTGAATAGGGAATCATACTTCCAGAAACTACAAGGAAACTATAAGGTCTGTCCATTTTGCACACTTTAAAGTGGAGGAAGAAATGTATACATCTTATGTATCTTATGTTATTGTGTCATAATCCCATATTACAGTCCTGGGGGAGGAGAGGTAAACTGGAGCGCTCAGAGGAAACTATGCAAAAACGAAGAAAGCAACTGCTGTACCGTTGTACACAACGGTGCTGTACCGTTGTGTACTGACGGTACAGCCTTACATTTTTCATGATTTTACCATAATGTTGTTGTTGTTTTTTACATTAAAATTCATTTGAATGCATTTTTAAACATAATCCCTACCTTCACACATATGGAAACAAATAAAATAAACTAAAAGTATAGAATAAGATAAAATACAAATCAGTACAATCAATTAACATTTTATTTGTTTATAGGGGCTCTATTCATATTGATTACATCATTTTTGATGTTTTTGGTTATTTTTGTGTTTTTTATGATCAAACCAACTGCCTCTGATGGGATAAATAGTCTGAATCTGAATTGTTTATCGCAATATATTTCTGAAGCAACATGTCTTTCATCATGTGTTATTGTGACAGGCCCATAACATGTGACCCCTATCAGGTAGTTCTTGCTCAATTTTATATCACTCACCCCGTTCACTGGGTAGGTCTTCCAGTCCAGCTCACCCAGGACTGTTGTGGTGTCCAGCAGAACCACTGAGCACAGAGAAAGGAGAAAGAGACATGCAGAAGAGAGGAGAAAAGTTAGTGAAAAGAGCAACATAAGCATATGCCGTGACGGGACAAGTGGAGGAGAGTGAACAGCAGAGGTCAGGCGAGTGAACTTTAAGAGAAACCGAATGGATGTGACAAAAACGAATTCAGCAGACAGCAGTTATCAAGCTGTCAGCGCGGAGCAGGCCGAGCAGTAAAGTCCTTATCGGATTCAACCACCTATGAAATAACAGCTTTTAGGAGCGTCCTGGACAACAGCAGACACGCCCTCCGTCTGAGAGGAGCAAGAGGATCGAGCTCTCCTTCACAGAGGTCACTGCTCCGCGCACAGCAAAGTACCGGTAATACAACAGGGATATATGAATGCAGGAAAAAGGAAAAACTATGGAGTTGGACTTAAGACATTTCCTAAGATGGGGGTGTAGTAAAAAAAAAATCAAAGAACATTTAATTCTAGGTGAAACTCTGAAAATAACTTTAGCATTATCAAGAAGCAAGTATAACATCTGTGACTTAAGCAAAATAAAGAATCAAGTATAAAATCTGTTACTTTAGCATAATGAAAATTACAGTAGTAAATGGACTTTTGATATTCTTCCAACTGTATTTTCTGGTCTAAATTGTTCTCACTGGCCTTAAATGTCATGTAAAATTATCTATTTTTATATGCTATTGCTCCAATATATGACTATTAATATAAAGATGAAATGAACAGAATAAACAGGTCTATCTCAGTATCAAAGTAAAAATCTTCAGCTGATTTGCTTCATGCTTCCACACCATACGCTGAAGCTTTCCCATTGAAATCCCGGGCCACTAAAGTAAATGATTGACCAAACAACTAAATATGACAGTCTTACTATGGAGAGCCTTTTTAAAATATCTTTTGAATGAACTGAATAAAGCTCACCAATGCCCAATAGTCTTATTTATGTTAATAGCGCTGTAGTGTTATTTGATTATTATAATGTGCATTGTGGCATGACTTAAAATAAGGCTGAGCCATGGAGCAGTTAATGAACTCAGACTTTGTAGTAATAAATCTCTGTTAAAATCAAATTAAAAGTGGTTATTTGTTGCTTATGTTCAATAAAGTTAATGTTTTTTATCCAGATATTATTTTTTTGTGGTACAGCTGTAATAAAAGTTAATATTAATATAATAAGTAAACATACCAGTGATTTCTCGAACATTGAGTAAATTGTGGAGGATAAAATGTAGCAGTAAAATATAGTCAAATGGGTTATATTTGAGGAAAAAGGCAAAAACAAGTAATAAAAAGACTAAATTTTTCTTGTTGAACATGCTCTCCTCTCACACCTTAATGTGTAGCTATTTTTACGTTATATAAAGACACACTAATGTAAGGCAAGGCAAGGCTAGTTTATGTATATAGCACAATTCATACACAAGGCAATTCAAAGTGCTGAACAAAATAAGAAAGCATTAAAATCATAAATAATCACAGAACCTTCTGTGACACATGTAGCTCTTGAACACTGATTACGGAGGAAATCCACCTGCTGGAGTTTAGCTAAAACAGTACAAACTCTGTGCATTATGTACAGTTTGTGAATATTATACATAATTTTCACCTAAACTGAGAGCTCTGACTGGGAAATCTGTGTAAACATAAATATTGTGGACGTCATGCCAATTGTATTTTTAACTAAGACTGACTTCACTTAAAACTTTTGTTCAGAAATGGTCAAATATGATTTGTACGTGTGACCTGTTATCTGGGGACATACACAAAGGTTTTTCTGTTTTTTTTTTTGTTTTTTTTAAACCTAACGACCAGTTCTGTTCTGTTCAGATTGTTGATGAATAATGAACTGAATATCACCTTTTGCAAAGCCGCTTAAGGATATTTGTTGTAAGTCTTATTTTTTCCTCAAACTGAGATGTCACAAGTGTCACCCTCTCAAGCTGCAGACTTACACTCCCGTCACGCCTCGCACATGAAGAGACCTATTATCTTGCTCTTTGCCTGGGCCTCGGAGCCAATTTGTTATGATGAATGTGCAATTTCCTTTGTCTTCCCTCCGCCAGTTAATTACAGTCTCTATCAATAAGTGCGTCCTCTCCAGTGGATGACATTCTAAGACTAGAAGTTAAATCTCCTGTCACTCTAATACGCCTTGGACTTCAACAAATCTAAGATTATTTAATGGAGAACGCTTGTTTGGAAAGAAGGAAATGAATATTATCTAATGTGTTAGATCCTACTGAGAATATGACACTCTTTAGAATTAACAGACGTTTAGACATCATTTAGCCTTGATCTTCTGTCAGAACCATAGACTGTAAATATTAACAGACGTAGTCAGAATCAGAATCAGAATCAAAATCATTTTTATTGCCACGTAAGTAACAAACAAAAGTTACCACTTGGAAATTGTTTTGGCAGAGAGCGTGCCACTTCGCCATTTGCGGCGCCTATCTCCACCGTTCAAACAAATAGGCCAAAAATTGTGCTCTACTGGAGCTATCCAAAATGGCCGCGAGTGGTCCCGCCCACAAGAAAATTGTGAAAAAACGCATAGATCTGCGCATGCGTCAGCCGGAGCAGCTCCATTCATTTCAACAAGTGCCACACACAGCGACTAAACTAGAGTGGTCCAAAAAAATTCACCCCCCTCAGCATTGACACACATGTGGAACGGAGCTTTGGGCCAAGAGCCAACTTTTGGACCATCCTGTAAAGACGATAGGTCAGCTAATGCTATATGTTAGCATTGGCTAATTCTTATTCCGAGTCCACACACATCGGCCCGGGGTGGTATTTTGCAAGCATGTCAGCGCACGTCATTTTGGTCACTTTTGAGCTGGGACCTGCCCCCACTGGAAAATATGCATCTGCGCCTGTGTTAGCTGGCGCGAGCCCCATTCATTTAGCGAGAGCCTTCAAAAATTCCCAGCAACTAAACTAGAGTGGTCCAAAGAAGTTCACCCCCCTCAGCATTGACACACATGTGGAACGATCTTCTCTGCACTGTCTGTGCAGAGAAGCTAGCCGAGCTAGCCACGCTCAACAAGCAAATACCACTCAATCAACACCTTTCAATGTTAACCAGAGTAAACAATTCTACACATCCTTAAAACACATGCACGGAGGTTTTCAGAATTATTTGTTAACGTTTTCATGACAAAAATACTGTTTCAACGTGACAAAAAGCGATTGCGATAAACCCGGAAGTAGCCATTAACACATTTACTTACATTAAATGTGAACATTTTAGGACACATTTGAAGAGGATCTGAGTATGGATTTAGGTTTGGTTTATAAATGGGTAACTCACTGCTGATGTTCAGAATTCTTTGTCCAGTTTTCATGTACTGTAGTTCCAGAGAGTTTTTGAACTAGCTAGCTTATCTGTCACCTGCCTAGCACGTCACGGTGAAAACTTTGGGAGATAACTATTTCATTTGCAGTCATTAAATACATTTCGAATATTAAGGGCTGTCTAATATTTGTTCGAATACATATATATTTTATTTTTGAAATGTATTAAAATTTCGAAGTCAAAGCCCAAGTGTTTACCAGCGCTGTAGAGGCTAGAGGACGCAGCCTGTTCGCTGCTCGTTCTGAGAGTGGAGGAGAGCGGTCTCTACTCAGCACTTTTTACGGCCTGAATGCATACACAAGCTGAATCAATGAGCTCAAGCTTTCAATTAAATTACGGATTATAATACAACTTGTATGTAGTAATGAGCATTTTTATGAACTAATTAGAAACAAAAATCAGGTATTCCTGGGTTTCATTAAACTGGCCTGTAGGGGGCGAATGAGCAGAGGTGGGACAACTCAGTTTTGCTCCCAATGAAAAGGCTCTCCTCCTGTGCAGTGTACGGTTGTTGTAACAGTCTTAATCGGGAGAGGGACACTCAATTCTAAGGGAGTACTAAAAAAAAAAATCTCAAAAGAGTCTTGATTTTGGGCATTTTTGGAAAAAAAAAAACAGAAGAAATTGTTGCGTTTCATTTGGGTGGCCTGCAGGGGGCGCTTATCTGGGAAAGCCTTGATCCACCTCGCCCGCCTCATTCAACTGATTTTTTTCAAAGTGTACTCCTTTATATGAGACCACAGTTGGAACACGGAAGAAACTCTTGTCTTTCTCTCTATTTGTGCGGTTGCTACAAGCGTACACCGCACAAAAAAATGGCATTTTGACAGCGCTTCTTCTTCTACTATATCTCCGTGTATATACCCGGCAGACTGCACCACCAGGGTATGTCCATGTCCTGTCCTACGTTTGTTGAGTTCAAGTCTCTCAATTGCCTTGCAACAAAGTACATCCACGATATTGTTGTGCCATATACAACTCAGACTCTGAGAAGCACAGGGACGGGACTCCTGCTAGTGCCCAGAGTCAGGACTAAACATGAGGAGATCCCATTTCAGCTAAAATCTGGAACAATCTCCCTGAAAATGTGAGACTATTACTCTGACAATGTCCAAATCCGGGTTGAAAACAGTTCTGTTTAACTGTGCATACTGTACAACGGAAGGATTGTATCTTCCCTCTTTTCAATGTTCTGTGTTTATTTATGAATTGAATTTCTTGTGTTTTTCTAATGTTTATTTTCATGTTTTGTTCAGCACTTTGAGTGGCCTTGTATATATGAACTGTGCTATAGAAATAAACTTGCCTTGCCATTTTGGGGTCAGTTTTGTTCACAACATTTTTCAACAAAAGTCTTTCCGTTAGAACAAACACAGTGTATGTGTATGTATTTTTGAATTCACAAAAGCAAGTTACTGAACCCCAGCTATAATTAAGGGCTGCAGACATGTCTATACTATATTGTGATGATAGAAACCAGTGGCAAATTTCTCTATTCATGACTTTTGAAAAAAAAAAGCTGCACACTTATGTATTCAGTCCCACCAGGTGAATCTGCACTTTTCCCATTTAGCTTTGGCCGAATGCTTCAGCTGTAACTTGGTCACATTGAAGGACCTGCTTCACCACCGAGAC